ACATTCAGCAATACTTGCAATAATTACTAAGAATCTCAAAAATAAATTAAAAATTTATGTTTTTTCTCAGAAATTGTGTTATTTTTAGTAAAAAATTTAGTGTTTATGACGATCATCATCAAAAACTAAAATAATATTTCATTTGATTTATTTTTTAACAGTAGTCCTTACACAGTGCAAAATAAGTTTGCTTAACACAAAATACTTACGCTTGTTTTCTAAACACCTTTGACTAGACGAAAAAGCAGTCACGAGATTAACCTTTGATTAGCCACCGCAAAAATCTGGTGATTGGTAGTGAGCAGACAATGAAAGCCTTATACTGCACGTTGATTGAACGCGTGCAAATTTTTCCCCGTGTGCAAAATGTCACTGCAAGTCAGTTCATTTTCTGATATATTTTTGCATGAGAGTGTATAAAAAGGACACCATTTTGCAGGAGTTCCTCCACACAAACGACGATTTTCCTATTTCATTTGCTTAACATTCCTAAAATGGGAAGGAAACTAACTATTCTCGTCAACTGCTACAGTACCGTTGGACCGATAACAGCTCTGTCTGGTGTGACCAGAGCTTTGCTCGCTCGAGGGCATCGAGTCATCTTTCTGATTGACAACTTCAACCTGTGCGGCAAGTTGGCCGAGCAAGGCTTTGAGGAGTACATCTGCCAAAACACCTGTGGCTATAAAAAGGAGTGGCAAGAAGTAGACGGTAATGGCAAAGCTAAAAATCCCGGAGAGGAGACGGCTAGACAGCTGATAGCGGCAGGCGTCTTTGGTGCTGAGCCACCGCTAAAAAAGTTGCAGAAAACGCTGAATCTGTTTGTGGAAAACAAGGACTTTAACGAGTACGTCCGCAAGCTGGACATTGACGTGAAGAAGGCCATTGAGACGATCAAGCCAGATGTTCTGCTCGTTGATAATCTCCTCCTGCTTCCCTCCATTTACTACTCGGGACTGCCCTGGATTCAGCAAGTCAGCAGTAACCCGTGCTGTCGTCTTTTTGACTCTACACTTCCTCCGGGCGGCTCAGGTACTATCTTTTACATAAAAATTCAATTGCTTTAAAAGTTTTTATCTACGTAGGCTACCCTTCAGATGGCAACTTTGATATGGACATTTGGATGAAACACAAGGAGGTTCTCAACGGTTTTTTCTACTCCAAACAATTCAACGATATGCTGGAGAAGGCCGGCTACGCTCGCTACCCTGACGACACTCGAATGCCACCAACTCAACTCTTCACCATCATGGCCTTTCCTGAAGAGCTCAACTACCCTCAACTGAAAAACCGTTCCGACATTTTCAACTTGGAGCTTTTCAACCAAGTGCCACCTAATGAGAACACTAAGCTGGCCGACCTGGTGCCCGCTGCCTTTTTGGACGATGACCTGGAGGGTCAGTTTAGCGGAAAGATCATCTACCTAGGCATGGGCTCAATGACCAGCACTGATGTGCAACTGATGAAGCGGCTGGTGGGCATGCTGGCCACCACCAAACACAAGTACATCGTCTCGAAGGGGCACGCTCACGCCGAGTACGACCTGCCGAGGAACATGTGGGGAGAGCGGTTTCTGCCCCAGCGAAAGCTCCTTCCACATGTCGATCTGGTCATCCACCACGGCGGAAACAATACGTAATACCTAACTGATTTTTTGTTTGATTGATTGCTAACAACATTTTATAATTTTGCAGTCTGACAGAAGCTTTTGCCCTGGGAAAGGTGGCCCTGGTGCTGCCCACCTTCTGGGACCAGTAAGAACTTTGAGTTGAAAGGTAGTGAACACCTTTTATCATCTATTTTTGTGTTTGTAGGTTTGACAACGCCCAGCGAATTCACGAAACTAAATACGGCCTTCGACTTGACCCGTACACTTGCACGCAGAACGAGCTGGTGAGTGCAGTCGAGGAGCTGTTGGCTGATGAGGAGCTGGCGGCGAGAATGCAGCAGGCAGCTGCACGACTTCAGGCGTCCACTGCTCATGAACGACTTTGCAAGAAAATTGAGGGCTTACTGAATTGTGTGCCCATTAAAGAGGAGGATAGAAACTGACTGGAGGGTAGTCAGAGTGACTAACTGCAGATTGACTGCACTTTAGTGCAGCTTTGTTACTTTTTGTGCGCTCATACTGCAAAAACAATTTGAATAAAGACAGCACTGTGTGTAACCTACGAGCCTCACAGTGATATGGGGTACTTTTCACGGCAATAACGAGAGTATTTGAAAAGCACTTTTTGAGTAAATAAAAAACAGAAGATTAGCGCAATGTAGGGCTAACAGGAAAGTAGCACTAACGATCATTTTTTATATGCAAAATTAAATTAAATTTTAAAATATTTTAGAAGCTGCATTGGCGCACCGGAAACTAATTAGTTTTGTGAAATTTTTAATTGTACACAAATGTAAGATTTTTGCAATTTACAATGGAAGTTGTTTTACATAACAATTTAATGCTACTTTTTCATTTTTAATTTATTTTTAAAACTAGTTAATTGTTGTATTCTACCGTGCAAGAATATAAATTGTTATGTACCGGGAATAAAAACATATGTGGGTGCATTCAATCGAATAAGACAAATGTTTTCAATTAATTTTTAAATTGCATTTGAGCATTTTTTGCTAACTAAAACAAAATAGTTTTGTTTTTTCAACCACGAATTTTCGTTTAATAAAGTTACACTGTAAAAATTCATTCAAATTGTAAAACCAGCGCAAATGTTAATCAGAAACTTGATTGTGATTTTGCCCTAAAACCGTATTATTAAAGCTGTTACTAAGGTTGATTAAATTAAGTGATGTATGTAAAAGTTTAACGTAATTGGTTAAATAAATTTGCATAGCAGACATTGTCAGAGCTGCAATCAAGTTTAGTTTGCCGAGCGCACATTCTTTTACTAGGCACTACCAATAGTAAAAATAAAAAATTGAATGAAAAATGTAACAACTTCATTCAGAGAAATCGTAAAAAATAAATGAACAATAGAGTAGTTCAGCGGTATATGAAATAGTGTGAAATATGGCAACAAAACCAGTGCTATGTCTGCTGATCCTATTACACAGGCTTTCATCACTGCGTTATCACACTTAAATGTTGTCTTATTGCAACAGTACTATCATGTGGCCTATCAATTTGCAGCACTCCGCCAGACTAGATGACACTACAAGCACTATAGTGGAAAAGTCGCCCAAGCAATCAATTGATCGAGTGACGATTTTGCTGACAACCATTTTCCTGCGGTTGACAACAAGCCTCCAGTTGTTGTTGTTAGTGTTTGCTGTTGAGTACAAATCATCACCATGAACTGTAAAAAGCGGCTTACCATTCTCGTGACGACGGTTGATGTGGTGGGGCGAATCAACGCCTGCACCGGCGTGACCGGTGGTCTGCTGAAGCGTGGCCATCGGGTGGTCTTCCTCACGGAGGAAAGTTTTCAAGGGCGTCTTAGTGCGCTTGGCTTTGAGGAGTACGTCTACCGCATGGAGATGGACGGCGGCACTGCGCCAGCAGCAACAACAACAAACAAAACATTACAGTCACAGTCAGAGTCAAAACAGCAGCAAAAAGACTGCAGCAAGAATGCAGTTGCCAAACCGGGCGAAAAGGTGGCCAGTGGAATGTTCATCAACCGAATCATTGGGCCCTACCATCCAAAGGAAAAGTTTCAAAATCTACTTAATCTGTTTGTGCTGTCTGCCAGTGCCGGCCGGCGGATAGTGAAGAGCAACCATTACATCAAGGAGGCGATTGAAGCGGTGAAACCGGACCTGATCTGGGTGGACAACACCTACCTGGCACCGGCCATCTTCTACTCGGGCATTCCCTACCTCAACAACATCTCCACGACGCCTCTGTACTGCGTTTTCGATGAGACGCTCACCGTTCCACCGGGAGGCTCTGGTGAGTCGATTTTGGAACTGTAACTGCGACAGGAAAGATTGACAAATGACACATTGTGCCTCTCTTTTTCATTGTAGGCTACCCGGCTAATGGCGACAAATCAGATTGGGCCAGTTTTAATGAAGTTCGTCGAGAGTTCTTCTACTCTAGCACCTTTAACAACTACTTGGAGGAGATGGGCTATCAGCGCTACCCGGCTGACATTCGCACGCCGGAAACGAACTGTCTGCTGACGGTGTACGGCTGGCCAAAAGAGCTCAGCTTTCCGCTGATTGAACAGAAGGACAAGTGGTTCAACTTGGAGTCCTTCAACAAGAACGAATCTCAAGAGGTGGTCAACCTGAGTGACATCGCCGGAGAGCAGTTTGCCAGAGAGGAGACACTTGACGGAACGTGGAGTGGCCGACTGATCTTCCTCTCAATGGGCACCATGGCCTCCACTGACCTCACTCTAATGAAACGGCTGATTGAGGTGTTCTCGCGGACGCCGCACAAGTACATCGTTTCAAAAGGGCCACGTCACGAGGAGATTACCTTGCCGAGAAACATGTGGGGTCAGCGATACGTACCGCAAACGCGCATCCTTCCTCTGGTGCATCTGGTGATCTGCCACGGCGGCAATAACACCGTCTGTGAGGCCTTTGCACAGGGAAAGCCAATGATTGTGGGACCAATTTTCGCTGATCAGTAAGCAGTGTTGCCAGTATGAGTAGTTTGTGGGTATTTAAAAAACTTTTTTTATTTCACAGGTACGACAATGCTCAGCGCATCGAGGAGACCGGTTTTGGCCGTCGCTTTGATCCGTACTCCTTTGAGGACAGTCAACTGACCGAGGCAGTGGAGGAGCTGTTGGCTGATGGCGAGTTGCAGCAGAGACTGGCAGTCGCATCACAGCGAATTCGCTCGACTAAGAAGCACGAAGAGCTGTATGAGCTAATTGAGAACTTGATGCTCAAAGCTGAAGGAGAGAAGGAGAAATAACGCAGGTGTAAGATGGCAAGTACCACATTTTCTATTGTTTCATTAGCTGATAAATAATAAAACGCGTAATAATCTCTTTTTTGCTTTCTGGTCATTACATTCTTAGCGCAATGAAATCTCGCCAATGTTACGTCAAAAATATACCAGTGTCTAATATTTTTTGTTCTGATTCAATATAATATTTAGTAGTATGCTTTTTAGTGTTTGTTTTAGTGTAGTGTACAATTTAAAAATAGAACAAGCAGAACAGCAAAACTCCTTCCGGAAGAAGAAACCGGCTCAGTACATATTTGTAGCACTGTATCACAAAGCTTTTTCTATTATAAAATTTCAAAAAATTTTCTCATGCACGACAATTAACAATAACACCTACCGTTTCAATGTCAAAATATTTTACCAAAATTTAAATAAATCTAAATTTAGATACCTTCCCCGACACCTGAACAGCAGAAAAACTTACATTGAAAAAACTAAAATTAAGTTGTAAAAGTGTAAAAATGTTAAAGAACTGTTTAATATGTCAATATTTTTTTGATGAAGGGCAAAATAAGTACATTTGAATGAAGATGTCTACAATTAATTTGAGGGCAATGCTATAATTAACTCTTTTATTAAAAACTTGAAATTTTGCATTTCAAACAAGTCATGAATTACTAGCCAACACAGTTTGCCAGTACCAGTTATCTTGAGTTTTTTTACTTTTGTTACACTTTCTAACAAAAGTTCAATTCGTTTGATTAAATTCACCATTTCAGTTTGCTTAGGTTTCACTTAAAACTTGCATGTCAGACATTAGCACGCACACCACAATGATGACCAGACAGACTGAGCTTACCTTGTGACAGTAAACCACGCAAAGCAAAGCGCATTTTTTGAAAAATATAAACTTGTGAAATAAAATAAATCCTCTTTGTCGGTGTTCATGTACTGACAGTTTTTATTGCGGTATACAGGTAAATAATAGGTAATAAATATATAGACTATTACATGTAATAATGATAATAATATTAAATTATTTAGTAAAACAACAAATAATACTTTGTGAAGGATGAAGAAAGTGAAAAACAGAGAGAAGGAGTCTGTGAAGAGGAGGAAAAAAGAAGAGTGGAAAGGAGGAGAATAAAAGTAAAAAGAGTGCTTTTTGAGAAGAGAAAGAAAGAAAATCTGGGAACAGGGACTTTTCGGTGGGAGTCAGTTTTGCTTAGCAATGACATTGCTGCGTACTGCACTGTCGGTGGTCTGGGTGGCTGAGAGAAAAGGAGGAGAAAAAGGAGTGGGAGAAAAGAGGAGAGGAAAAGACGGTGTACACTACAGTAGTCGGACGATTTGATGTGCTCCGTCAGTAGTAGTTGCTGTCGTTTGCTGTCAGTAATCGCATTAGGTGCACTGCTTTGATGTGCTCATTAGAGACCGGTAATTAGAGCAGTTTGCTGACATTCACGGGAAGACTTCACTGCAAAGACTTGACATTGCGATGTGACACTAATGCTACTGCTACTACTGCTTACACTGCACTCACTCTGCTGACCACTGCTGCTAACTTAGGGTGCTGGGCACCCTTGCCTACCACTGTTTTCAGGTCTGTGTCCAGCAGTGAATTTAACGGGGGTGGGTGAGAAGTGTGAGTGTGTATTTTGACTCTACTGAAGAGAGATGGTGGTGATGCCTTGGAAGGAAGAGTTCAGTTCAAAAGCAGTGTCTGTGTGTGCAAAAGAAGCTGAGTGTGATGTGTGCCTACATGTCTGTCTGTCTGTCTGTGTGTGTGTGCTGTTGTTTGAGTGGAATTTTAAATGAGTGTGTAAGTGCTGGGCTTTCTATTGATGATTACCTTTCATTAGTGGTGATTTCTCTGTCTAGGTTTCCACGCGCCAATTTGAGTCTACTCTTGATGGTGCTGCTGCTGAATCACTGTTTTCTCTATCTCTCTTTCCCTTTTGTCCTTCTCTTTCTCTCTCTCTCTTTTTAATGGCAAAACGCAAAATAATAAATAAATAATTGAAAGGGAAAGAGAAAATTGAAAATTAATGAATGCTAGAGTGTGTGTGTTGCTGCGCTGGAGTGATCGTAGTTTGATTAGGTGTGCTTTGTTTGTCTTTGCCTGAATGAATGATACTAGTTGTCTGTTTTAGAATGTTCGGAAAATAGGTGAAAAATAGGAGGATGTAGAAGATAAACGCTCTGATTTTTTGAAGAAGGAGTTGCCGTGTTCTTTTTGTTGGCCCCATGTTCTCTGTCCACTTGCCGATGTTGTTGCCTTGCTTAGAGTTGCCGCTGTTGAATTCTGCTTCTGTGTGCTTACAATGTACCACTAACACTGCGCTTGCCACGAGCACCAAAGAAGCCCATGCCTTTCCTTTTCTCGATGGCCTCCATTGCCGGTTGCTGCTGCTGGTCATCGTAGTAGCTGTTTTAGTTTAAGAAAAAGAAGAATAGTCAAATATACCATTAGATAAAAGAGTTTATCAGCAATCAATGAAGAAAGTGCGACGTACCTAGCAGAGTCACTCTTGACCGGGTAGTAAAACATGGGCATTGGATGTTGCTGTGCTGTGGCGTGGAAGTAGGTGCCGGTGGGCGGCAGCCACTGGTAGTGCGAGACGCCACTGGCCGCAGCGGGCACCGCCAACTCCGCCTGGCCACTTCCGGTGTCCCACTTGCGACCGCGCATCGGCATGAAGGAGGCGACACGTCGCTTTTCCATGACCTCCTCATAGTCGGAGCCGGATGATGCTGCTGCTTTGCGGCCCCTCATTGGCAGGAATCCACTGGCCCGCTTGGCCACATCATTGAGAAAGGCCAATCGAACGACGGCGGCGTCTTCGAGGGCCGCCGCGTTGAGGGCCGCCGCCGCATCATCGTCGTCGGCAGCAGCAGCAGCACTGAAACTGGGCAGCATGTTATTGTTCTCCGCCTGTCCGTCTTTCTTGCCTCGTGATGGAAGGAAGCCGCTGCGTCGTTTCGTCATCACGCTCAACTCTCCGCTGTCCGAGAGTAGCTGTAGAGGAGGAAGGGTAACAAAAAAGGATAACAAACGGCAAAGGTTATAATGAGCATACCAAGTAGGAAAGGATGTTCAGTTTCCACTACTACTACTGAGGCCAATTAGATTAGCCGGCGCAAGCTGATCGAAGATGATGCAGCACAATTTTTTT